AGGGAGGGAGAGAGAGAGAGAGAGAGAGGGAGGAGAGAGAATGAGAATGTCTCCATGTCTTTGTGTGTGAGAGAGAGAGAGAAGAGGGAGGGAAGGAGGAGAAAGAGAGTGAGTTAGACAGAATCAGAGACAGACATACAGACAGCGAGACAAGAAGAGCTTTGTCTCTGCCTCCCAATTACTGGTATTGCTGGGATTACAGTTGTATATTCTGATGCTATAGCCTCCATTTCAAACTTGGTTCTGTTCTTTTGTTGTCCTTCAGAGGTTGCATCAAAACTTCCTCAGTGCATTTCTCAAAATTTTATCATGGTTATAAGGTTACAATGAGGTTTTCAGAATGGTGATTAATTTTGTGTCTAAGCCCTCACAACATGATTTGAAACATAACTATGCATTTATGTGTAGGAGTTATAATTTAAGAGCTATAATTTTATCAAAGTATATTTAAAGTACCAGCTCTTTCTTCAGATAGTTTCCTAGGAAATATTGCAATTTTCTTGTATTTTTCAAACCATTAAGGTTGTTAATCCAATCAATCTGATACTCATTTTACTTCCTGATTTTCATAATTGAGAGTATCTGACTATAGACATTGCATATCTAATAATTATACAAACTTAGGTGAATTTGTGAAAAGGGTCTTCACAGTATACTGTTAAAAGTGATTGCAGAATACTCTTAGAGATCATATAAGGAAATAGACCAGTGAGTGTGCTGGCAGAACTTTTCCTCTGGAAAGTAGTGGAGGAAGCATCTTTCAGTCATCTCGGGGAAGCAGCAGAGAACAATCTCACGTGTCTTTCTCCTTATACCATTTTTTCCTTTTACTCTGATATTTAGAGCTTCTTTAATTGTGGTAGCATTAATCTCCTCTGTTGTATGTGAGACGAATAAAGTTATTGGGAAGGGGGAGATGGAGGAAAGGAAGCAAGTTTGTATGTAGGTCAGCAATTATAATGTAGCTCATTTACATAGTAAATAATTTACTATGAGTTTTTTTGTCTGTGTGTGTGTGTGTGTGTGTGTGTGTGTGTGTGTGTAGTATTTGTAAGAACTTGCCCTGGTTGGTCAGTTTATGGTGTAGCCATTGTCTCCTTGATGTAAATGGGGAAGCATTGGCAGGTGAAAAAACACAATTCAAGTAATGCTATTCTTAAGTCAATGATGTAGCTGTGGATTGTGATATGACTCTGCTTCCTTCTTCATTCAAAGAGTTGTAGAGTCTTTCATATGTAAGTTTTAAGTTGGGTTCTCATGATATACAAACATTTAATTCTTAACGCATTGTAATAATCTATGATGTTTCTTATCTACAAACAAAGGAAGAAATTTTAAAATCAGCGGTTCTTCAAAACCATCATGAAATTTAATAAGAGTTAATTGTGAACACAAATTCAAGTTAAACATAGCTATTTAGACTCAAATTTAATTCAATTGTTTAGACTCAATTCATTGTACAAATTGAATATGTGTCTGGAATTTATGTTCTAAGAAGGCAGTGACATCTGTTTTTCTGAAAGTAGTTAATGAGCTTTTAGTTTAGTGTGCTAAGCTAAACATCCCTAGGTGGTACTATTCTGTGATTTTTCTCTCCAGTCTGTTCTGGACATGGAGTGATTGGAGGGCTCCCAAAATGACAGCAAAATGCTCTTGATAGGAGGGAGCAAATATTCGCACCACAGGCATGGCTTCTTAATGTGGGTGACTCAAATTTGTACTCCAAGTTATTTGCATTTCTCTTCTTATTGTTATGATCTGTTTTCTAAAATCAATATAGTGCCATAATGCTATGAAGAAAAAAGAAATAATTTCCTTGAAAACCAGACCTATATAGAACAACCTTAAGTTATAGAAAAGGCAGTTTTATTTTGTCAGATAGAAGACCCTCCTTAAAAAGTCTCTAAGCTCTGGAGTAGGCAGACAGATGTTTCAGATATTCCCACTATGTCTTCAAGACTAAAAAGATTAGTTATTCAGCTAAATAATATGTGTATCCTTTAAGTCTCTGCCAGCTTACAGTTCTTGTTTAATCATACTGCTAATTACTTGGAAAAATGATTCTGTATTCCTTTTGTGCTCATGCCTGAGAATGATACGTGCAATTTATGGGGATGTGTGAATTATTTTCTTAGGTATTAGTTAGGGTTTTCTATTGCTGTGAAGAGACACCATGACCATGGCAACTATTAAAAAGAAAACATTTAATTGAGGTGGTGGTTTAAAGTTTCAGAGGTTCAGTCCATTATCATCATAACAGGAAGCATGACTGCATGCAGGGAGACATGGAGCTGGCTATATCCTGACAAGAGTCAGTGGAAGTTGGCTGACTGTCACACTGAGGGAAGCTTGAGAAAAAGAAGCCCCAAAGTGTGCCCTCACAGTGACACATTTCTCCAATAAGGCACAACTCCTAATAGTGTCACTCCCTTTGGGGACCATTGTCTTTCAAACCACTACAGGTACATTAACATTAAAAACTGTGAGTACGTTTGAGATTTGGTACTAAAATTCCTTTATTATGTAAAAGAAACTTCATGTTGGGGATAGCGAGATGCTGTTCTCACCGAGGACCCAAGTTCAGTTCCAGCACCCCTATGGCAGCTCGCAACTGTCTATAACTCCTGTTCCTGGAGATCCAACTCCCAGTGTGGTCCTCCTTGGCACCAGGTATGCTGTGGTGCACTTACAGATATGCAGACAGACACTTTTAAAGTCTTGAAAAACAAAATCCATGATATGACATATTTTTTTAAATACTTGATAAAGAATACAGGAGGGACCAAAAATTAGTCAAGAATGAGGCTGAAGCAATGCTCCCATCAACTATCTTGGACAGTCTTTCATCTTATGTGCTAACTAGTTAACATTTCATAACATTGATCTTTACCAGATACTAGGTGTCAGGCCCTGAAGTAAGTACCTCATCAAACTCCTATAATCTTCACATTAACTCTCCAAATGAGATGGGTCCTGAGATTTTAGATTCTTTACTATTCACTTTTCATATTCAAATGACCTGAAAATCTCCATCTTCCACTCAGTTCCGGGTACACTAATCTGATTGTCAAACCTGAAGTAAATAAGATGAGACTACTTAATGGTCTTTACCTATAATTGAAACATTGATTTATTCCTCCCCAGAAACACCAATATGCATTATTATGGGTTGTCCCAGGAGTACAGATATGTTGAATATTGCTTTCTAAAATTCATCAAATTCAGTCATGAGACATCTGGGTAAAGCTTTAGAACAAGTTACAAACCTATTCATCATGTCATTTTGAGCAGATTGATCCTAGAAAATATTAGGTAAGTGGTTAAACATATAAATAGCATGTTAAGATGTTAAGTAATTTACTGAGTTAAGCACATGGCAAAGTAAAACTCTAAGAAAAATGTAACATTTCTACTTTAAGCCTATCTTAGGTTAACTGGTGATTTTGCCACCCAATTGCCGGGGAAGGAAGGGTACCAGTATGTATGTCTTGAATTGATTGGCACAGTTGGTGATCTCTAGTAGAGAAGGCATATACTTGGATATTTCTAAAGGAAGATTCCCTTCTAAATTGTGTTTATATGTGGAGCTTTGTGTTTTTCTGTGTGTTTGATA